AGAGGGGAGAGGTGGCAGGAAGGAAGTTGAGATGGGGGTTCGTGGGGTGACCCACCCCCCTTCCCCCCCCCTCCCTCACTGCAGGACCTGCCCACGAGTTTCGGGCAGTTTGAGGGCCAGGGAGCTGCCCAGGGCCAGGGCAGCGGAGGCGAGCAGGATGGGCACAGCTTTGGTGATGCCCACGAAGGAGGTGAAGATGCTGATGCCCAGCACGGCTGCCAGCTTGCAGAGAGCATTGAGGAACCCAAACGCCGTCGTCCTGGAGGGGAGGAGTGGAAATTTAGGGGGGGTTAAAAGGGGGTGGCAGTGTGACACAGCCCTGAGGGTGCGTTGTGCAGCAAACAGTGCGGCTGGCACCCTGAAAACTGCATGTGGCACCCCAAAATCTGGCATCTGGGACCACAAAACCTGGCACCCCAAAACTTTGGCACCTGGGATGCTAAAATCTGCACCTGACTCCCCAAAAACTGACGTCTGCCATCCCAAAACTTTGTAACTGGAACCACAAACCATTGCAACTGGGTCCCCAAAACCTGACACCACCAAATCTACACCTGGCTCCCCATAACCGAGCACCTGGCACCCCAAAACATCGCAACTGGGACCCCAAAATCTATGGCACTCGGCACCCCAAAACCTGGCACCCCAAAACTCTGGCACCTGGGATACCAAAATCTGCACCCGACTCCCCAGAAACTGACATCTGCCACCCCAAAACTTTGTAACTGGAACCACAAACCACTGCAACTGGAACCCAAAAACCTCACAACTGGGTCCCCAAAATCTGACACCACCAAAAGTGCACTTGGCTCCCCATAATTGAGCACCTGACACTCCAAAACCTGGCAACTGGAACCCCAAAATCTGGCATATGGTATCCCAAAACATTGCACTTGGCACCCCAAAATGTGGCATCTGAAACCCCAAAACATTGCAAGTAGAACCCCACAACAGAACCTTACAGTCCAAAATCTGCACGTGCATCTCGAAACTTGGCATCTGGCACCCCAAAACCTGACATCTGGCAATCAAAATCTGCACCTAGCACCCCAAAACCTGCAACTGGAACCTCAAGACATTGCAACTGGAACCCCAAAACTTGGCACCCCAAAACCTGATATCTGGCACCACAAAACTTTGCACCTGGAACCCCAAAACATTGCAACTGGATCCCCAAAACTCGGTAACCCAAATTCTGCATCTGGCTCCCCAAAACTTCACATCTAGCACTCCAAACTCCAGCAAATGGAACCCAAAAGTCAGCACTCCATCCCCAAAAACATTGCAACCGGAGCCCCAAAACCTGCTCCTCCTCAATGTGATACCTGGAGCTCCCAAATCTGGCATCTGGCACCCAAAAACCCTAAATCTCTGCAACTGGAATGCCGTAACATCCCAAAACCTGGCACTCCAAATCTACAACTGCCTCTCCAAAACCCAACATGTGGCACCCCAAAATCTGGCATCTGGGACCATAAAATATGGCACTCGGCACCCCAAAACCTGGCACCCCAAAACTTTGGCACCTGGGATGCCAAAATCTGCACCTGACTCCCCAAAAACTGATGTCTGCCACCCCAAAACTTTGAAACTGCAACCCCAAACCATTGCAACTGGAATCCCAAAACCTTGCAACTGTGTCCCTAAAATCTGACACCACCAAATCTGCACCTGGCTCCCCATAACTGAGCACCTGGCACCCCAAAACTTGGCAACTGGAACCCCAAAATCTGGCATATGGTATCCCAAAACATTGCACTTGGCACCCCAAAATGTGGCATCTGAAACCCCAAAACATTGCAAGTAGAACCCCACAACAGAACTTTAGTCAAAAATCTGCACGTGCATCTCAAAACTTGGCATCAGGCACCCCAAAATCTGCACCTGGCACCCCAAAAGTTGCCAATGGAATCCCCACACCAACACCATGCACCCCCACCTAAATCTGCACATGGTGCCCAAAAATGCAGAATCTGAAACCCCAAATCTGCACATGGCACCCCAAAACCTTGCAACCCATGTCCTGCACCCAGGACCCCATGCTTCCTATGTGGCAATCAAAGCATCACACCCTGCACTCAAAACTCTGCATCTAAAACCCAAAATCTTGCACCCTACACCAAATTCTGGCACCCAGCCCCCAAATCCTTGCAACTAAAACCCAAAACCTTGCAACCTGCACCCACTCCTTGCACACAGCACCCAAAGCCTTGCATCGAAAACCCCAAATCCTTGCATCTGAAACTCAAAATCTTCCACCCTTCATCCAACCCTTCCATCTAAAACACAAAACCTTGCAACTAAAGCCCAAAATCTTGCACCGAAGCCCCCAAAACTTGCACCTAAAACCCAAAACCTTGCAGCTGAAACTCAAAATCTTCCACCCCTCATCCAAACCTTTGCACCTAAACCCCAAAATCTTGCACCCATCACATAACCCTGCATCTGAAACCCCAAACCTTGGACCCTGCACCCAATTCTTGCACCCAGAACTCCAAAACCTTGCACCTAAAACCCAACACCGTGCACCCTTCACCCAATCCTTGCACCCAGCCCCTTGCATCCAAAACCCAAAACCTTGCATCTAAAACCCAAAGTCTTGTACCCTGCCCATAAACCCTTCCATTCAAGCCCCCAAATCCTTGCACCCATGACCCCAAATCCTGCATCTAAAACCTAAAACCCGGCACCCTACAACCACTCCTTGCACCCAGCCCCCAAAATTCTGCATCTTATACCCAAAATCTTGCACCCACCACCCAATCCTTGCATCCAAAATCCCAAATCCTTGCAACTAAAGCCCAAAACCTTACAACCTGCACCCACTCCTTGCACACAGCACCCAAAGCCCTGCATCTAAAAACCCAAATCTTGCAATTCAAACTCAAAATCTTCCATCCTTCATCCAACCCTTGCACCTAAAACCCAAAACCTTGCAACTAAAGCCCAAAATCTTGCACCAAAGCCCCCAAAACTTGCACCTAAAACCCAAAACCTTGCAACTGAAACTCAAAATCTTCCTCCCTTCATCCAAACCTTTGCACCTAAACCCCAAAATCTTGCACCCATCACATAACCCTGCATCTAAAACCCCAAACCTTGGACCCTGCCCCCAAACCCCTGCACTCAAGTCCCCAAAACCTTTGCACCCAGACCCCAAACTTTGCACCCAAGCCCCACCCCCTTGCACCCAGCACCCCACGCACCTCTTGTCGGATGGGTAGAGCTCCACAGTGAGCACATCCAGGGCGTTCCAGGAGGCGATGCTGACGCCACCGAAGAGGCAGAGCAGTGCAATCATGGCAGATTCGCTGTTCCCAAAGGAGAGGAAGAAGCAGCTCACACAGGACATCACGCTGGAGCCGGCTGCCGGGGGACAGAGTGTCAGGGGGGGGAAAGTGAGGCAGCAGGGGGGGAAACTGAGGCAGGAGAGGGGAAAATGGGGGAGGAAAAGGGGAAACTGAGGCACCAGAGGGGGGGATGGGGACAGGAGGGGGGGGGAAATGGGGCAGAAGGGAGGACAATGGAGCAGCAGAAGGGGAAATTGAGGCAAATTTGGGGAAATTGAGGCAAATATGGGGAAACTAAGGCAGGAGAGGGGAAAATGGGGGAGGAGAGGGGGAAATTGAGGCACCAGAAGGGGGGTGCTGGGACAGGAGAAGGGAGAAAATGGGGCAGAAAGGGGGAAAATGAAGCAGCAGAGAGGGAAACTGAGGAAAATATGGGGAAACTGAGGCAGGAGAAGGGAAAATGGGGAGAGGTGAGGGGGAAACTGAGGCACCAGAGGAGGGCACTGGGACAGGAGAGGGGCAAAAATGTGTCAACAAAGAGGGAAACTGAGACATGTATGGGGAAAGTGAGACAGGAGAGGCAAAAATAGGGGAGGAAAGGGGGAAACCGAGGCACCAGAGGGGGATACTGGGACAGGAGAGGGGGGAAATGGGGCAGAAAGGGGGAAAATGGAGCAGCAGAAGGGGAAATTGAGGCAAATATGGGGAAATTGAGGCAAATATGGGGAAACTAAGGCAGGAGAGGGGAAAATGGGGGAGGAGAGGGGGAAACTGAGGCACCAGAAGGGGGGTGCTGGGACAGGAGAAGGGAGAAAATGAAGCAGCAGAGAGGGAAACTGAGGCAAATATGGGGAAACTGAGGAAGGAGAGGGGAAAATAGGGATGAGGTGGGGAAACTGAAGCACCAGAGGGGGGCACTGGGATAGGAGAGAGGAGGAAATGGGGCAGAAAGGGGGAAAATGAAGCAGCAAAGAGGAAAACTGAGGCAAATTCAGGGAAACTGAGGCAGGAGAGGGGAAAATGGAGACGAGGTGGGGAAACTGAGGCATCAGAAGGGGGCACTGGGACAGGAGAGGGGAGAAATGGGGCAGAAGGGAGGACAATGGAGCAGCAGAAGGGGAAACTGAGGCAGGAGAGGGGAAAATGGGGGAAGAGAGGGGGAAACTGAGGCACCAGAGGGGGACACTGGGACAGGAGAGGGGGGAAATGGGACAGAAGGGAGGACAATGGAGCAGTAGAAGGGGAAATTGAGGCAAATATGGGGGAAATTGAGGCAGGAGAGGGGAAAAATGGGGGAAGAGAGGGGGAAACTGAGGCACCAGAGGGGGGAAATGGGACGGGAGAGGGGAGGAGATGGGGCAGAAGGGAGGAAAATGGAGCAGCAGAAGGGGAAACTGAGGCAGGAGAGGGGAAAATGGGGGAGGAAAGGGGGAAATGGATGCAGGAGAGGGGGACGTTGAGGCAGCAGCACCCACCCAGCATGCGGAGGCGGCCGATCTTGTCCATGAGCAGCGCTGAGACGATGTTCCCAGGCAGCACGGCCAGGGTGCCCAGGAAGCTGACAAAGTAGATCATGTAGGCGTTGTTGTCGTCGCTGAAATCCAGCTGGCAGCCCTCCTTGTTGTGCAAGAAGGTGCTGTTCAGCATGCGGCTGTTGATGAACTTGTATTCGAAGAGGTCTGGGGGGAGGCAGACAGACGGGGGGGCTTTGGAGGCTGCCCTCCCCCGCTCCCATTTCCCCCTCTCCCACCTCACTTCCCCTCCCTCAACCCAAACCTGTGTTGTAGAAGACGGTGGAGATGAAGGTGCAGTTCTTGAAGAAGGTGTTACTGGAGGTGATGTCCTCGAAGTAGCAGTCCTCAAACAGCGAGTCCTCAAACGTCACCGACTTCATCTTCAGCCCAATGAACCTGGACGGGGGGGGGACAGCCGGCACCATCAGCCCCATGTGGGTACCACCAATGCCATCAGCCCTGTCCCAGTGCCACTCACCCCATGCTGGTACCATCAGCCCCATCCCAACACCCCCATTGCTTTTATTTCCATCCCAGTGCTCCCAGCTGTGTCCCAGTGCCACCTGCTCCATCCCATTGCTCCCGTTTCCATCCCAGTGCTCCCAGCCCCATCCCAGTGCCACCTAGCCTATACTGGTACCATCAACCCCATCCCAACACCCCCATCGCGGTGCACCCAGCCCTCATCTCATTGCTCCTGCTTTCATCCCAATGCCCCCAGCCCTGTCCTAATGCCTCTAGCCTCATTCCAATGCCCCCAGCACCATCCCAGAGTCCCCAACCACATCCCAATGCCTCCAACCCTGTCCCAAAGCTCCCCCAATCCCATCCCAATGCCTCCAGCCCTGTTCCAAAGCCCCTCCAACCCCATCCCAATGCCCCCAGCCCTGTCCCAATGTCCCCAATCCCATCCCAATGCTTCCAGCCGCATCCCAATGCCCTCAGACCTGTCCCAGTGTCCCCAACCCCGTCCCAATGCTTCCAGCCCCATCCCAATGCCCTCAGCCCTGTTCTAATGCCTCTAGCCTCATTCCAATGCCCCCAGCGCCATCCCAGAGTCCCCTACCACATCCCAATGCCTCCAACCCTGTCCCAAAGCTCCCCCAATCCCATCCCAATGCCTCCAGCCCTGTCC